TGCAAGTGTTCATTATTTACAACAGGGATGGTCCTATATATATCTTATTATCACTGATCAATAAAGTAAATGGCACACTGCATAGACGTAGGATCAATCATTAAACAAGAATTAATTGTCTTATAATGAAATACATTATGTAGATAACGAACAGTATTCAAGCTCAAAGTCCATTTAGACAATACAAATCTGGAACAGAGAATACTCGGACCTCCATAAATATCAGAGGTGGGATCAGGTGCCGTTGAGGAGTGAGCATCCCCTGCCGATCCGTCACACCCGTCGTGTGCTCCTTGTCATGATCGGGAAAACGGAAAAATCCGTAGACAATTCAGTGTGTAAATAATGGCCTAACAATAAGTATGAAAAAACTTCAGTCAGCATTTGACTTAATGATAGGTTGCATTTGCTGACAATGTCATTGTATCGACCATAAAACTTGCGAAATGATGACTTCAAACGAGACTGTTAACATCCTTGTTTTATCAAATTGTTTGTCAATAGCTTGCCTTGTTTTAAAAATTGTTCATACGTAGAACATGCTCTTGCGTATTGAATCAACTGGGAGAGAAAAACACCATATGCAGGTGATAAGGGTGTATTGCTGCACAAGTAAGGGAAGTTGACGATTGAAAAGTTGAAGTCATCACCTTTATCATAAAACTTTGTTGTTAGGTTACATGTATCATTAAAGTCTTTTTATAGTAAAATATTCAAATATGAAACAGATGCGTCAGACTCTATGGTATCTTTTATTTCAAGCTCACTGGGATATATCGAGTCGACAACTATTCTTAATTGATATCACGTCGTCGATATATCTGTTGACGGTACCCATGGGAATTCCAAAAGATTGTTGAAAGACTTGATCTCCAAAACTACATAGATATTGTCAATCAGAAACTCAAGCATCTTTTTTAATATCAACTTCAGAGTACTTGTGTGTACAATCAGAATGCTTTTTAACAAAATAACTGCATGTATTAAACAAGGACAATCATGTTCCTTATTTTTTTTTAAATCAAAGTACTGAAAGTACTACTACGAGTTGATGGTATTGATTATATAATCTTTAAATGAGTTGAGGTCTCTAGTCCATATATGGAATATATGATATTGTTGAAATTATGTGCATTGATGAAAACTATCACTTTAATTTTTTTTTTTTTTTTTTTGAGAGAGAGAAATAAAATTATATTTTATTTACACCTTTTCCATCATGTATTTTTAACATGTATATTTATTTTTTTTTAATACCTACTGGAATGTATAATAATTTATCACAAATCAAACCTTTAAACATAGAAAACAAATAATACTAAGTTAGTTTTGGGATTTTTCGTAAAATGACAATTTAGCTTGCATTTAAAGTAATTTGTATTTTTACAAAATATTAAAGGATACCATCATTGAAATGGTCACAGAGCACAGACTATCATTATTAAAACTACCGAGAACAGTTTTTGGACACTCGATATCATTTGACAGAAATTTATTATATATCAAGTGACTAGAAATTTCAAATAGAGAAAAATGGCAGAACTGTTGTAAAATCATATTACAGAATTAAAACAACTAAGTAGACAAAAAACAAGAAAAAGCTTTAAACACACATAAACCAAATAATAGGCCAAACCTACAATAGTATTACAAGTAGAGAATTATTATTATTTACAAATAGCGCAGATTGAATTATTTCATTCACATGCTCATTAAATATTTTCACTGCTTTCTTCAATTTACAAACAATTTAAAATTTTCAATGCACATCAATATGTTTCAATTCTCGTGATTAAGCCAGTCTTAACATTGATATCTTTTACTTTCATTTATATGTATATTACATAATTCAATTTTCTTGATTTAGTCACTATTGAAATTCAACTCCTTGTCTTTCAAAATTTACATGCACATTTGATATTTCAATTCTCCTGATTTAGCCACTCTTAAAATTCAACCCCCTGTCTTTTATGATCATTGATATGCACAATAAATATTTTAGTTCTCTTGATAAGCCTACTCTTGAAATTGAACTTCCTGACATTTAACTGAAATGGGCATTTTATATGTCATTTCGTTTGGTTTAGTCACTTTTGAAATATATCTACTTGACTTTAATTAATATGCACATTTTATATATCATTTCTCTCGGTTTAGCCTTTTTTAAAATTCAACTACTTGACTTTCATTGATACAAGTATGCATGTTAAAAATTTCAATTCTTTCGGCTTTTCGACTGAAGACTTTAAATTTACCACAATGGCATGCTATTGACTATTTACATGATCTATAAACTCATGAATTAATTTGATTTCTTGATCTCTTCACATATATAAATATGCATTTCACATTTAATTTATCAATAATTCCCCTCTTTTTTTATTTATTGCCTTCAGTACTACTAATTCACTTTATAACATGGTCAGCATCTGATAGCAAAACACAGCTGGACATATTAAAGGAAACCACTTTCCAGTGTAGTGCCGACAATTAACGAGATAAGAATCACAGGCGTGTTAAGTGACCATTGCTGTATTTAAAGCTTGCTGTGAAACAGATCTAGAATGTGGAAGACAGTGTTTTTAACAGGGAAAAAGAAATTGGAGCACAAAGTTGTCTGCTGCTGAAAAAATCTAACCCTTGAAGCAATCGAAATCTTTTATTGTTTGCACAAGAAATAAGAACTTTAATTTCAAAATTGTTTTTACTGGCGCAGCTCATTTCTTCCGTTTGAGATAAGTAGTTGATTTACATCGACCTTCTGTACTGCAAACTTCTCGCTTTGTTTACAAACATAGACAGTGTTCTCTGTGTTGAACGATTCATCACTAACGCGGGAAAACTGCTCTGTTCATTAGCATAACAGCGCAAGAATTAGTTTATTTATATACCTCTAGCACGTCAATCTTTTAAAAATAACCTAGTTTGTACAATGTTCAACTTTGTGAATTTTCTTTTAAAATCTGTTTTCAAAATACTTCTTATTATATAAAACATTTATTGATTTATAAATCAAAATTTTGATTGCACGACATGTCACTTTTGTTGACCGCATGTCCCTAACACTATTTTCTTTTGCGGATGGACACAAATTCCAATAAAATTAATAATAAATATTCATGTTTATAAACACTTCAAAGCATATCAGGAAACATATTCTTGTTCTGTAGATTATGAAAATTGTAAATAAACCAATATTATACAAGAATCCGTACGCAAAATACTCAGATGAAAGTGTGATTAGTCTCGATACATTGGGGAATCCCTTACAAGTCACATAACATGAGTTGATACCATCAACTCGTAAAAATGAAGTGGGTGCAGTATACAGGCATCTGCAACAAAAAATGTCAGGAATAGTTTTAGGCTTATATACATGCACTGTTAATATTAATAGATAAAATCCAAGTTTCTGTAGAATAGGGTGAGAGTAGGGATCAAGGTACATGTAACTCATTGTCTACATTCATTATAGTTCAATCTATTAATCAATTATCAATTGAAAGAAAACGTCTTCTTGAAGTTTTGAATACTTTTTTCTTTAATAAACCTTTATTTGATTGAAAAAGTTGTCCCATGCTTATAAACTGGGGAAAAAAATTGCAGCCCCATAATGTATTGCTTGAAGACAAGAAAAAAGTCCTTGTTCCCATGCATTTTGCACTGGTCCTACGCCTCAGTAAATTTTGACTGATCCTTTAGAGTGACCTCTGAACTCGTATTCATCATTTCACACCAACCTCTATCATGTATAATTACATGTATATACTAGTCTTCTGATAGTATAATTGTTCATCATTACTCACACCAAAGAAGCACAATGAATTTTAATCCATTTTCATGTATCTTCAATCAATTTTATCACAGGCATGTGCACTGTAGAAAAGTACTCTCAGGTTCGGTGTATGTGTGTGTGGAAGGGGGGGGGGTATGATCGATGTCAAGATGGTATCTTCATTAATAGTTGTGATTTTCAGAGTAAAAAAAAAAAAGTTGCACACTAAGTACATATATAGACTTTCTGTTATGGTGATAATGCGGATTTTCTTGGCTTGTAATACTTACTAGATTAATGATACCCGGATAATGTTTATAGAAATATGATTTCATGCTGATCTAAGTTATGTTACTCAATGTCAAAGATATTTAAGTAGCCTATAGATACTATGTATAGCAGAAACAAAATTACAGACAAATTACCATACAGTACGTGGACGCTGAGTTACGTCATTTAGTGTGAATGTTCCCTGAATAACATGCCATTTTAATCATACATTTCCGTTTTTAATCTCAAAATAATGGTGTGCATTAAAGTTCAATGTTATATGTGGTCTTTCATGGCGTTTTCCAATAAGGATGTCACTTAAATGTTTATAAAACAGTGATTGATCCTTTTATGGGAAAGCTCCTGATTTAAGCTGATTTCTTGTATAACGTGAGCACGATTATACAGCGACTTTGATTGATAAATGAGAATGAGTTCCGTTCAGAAAACGAAAAACTCTCGTACTTAATTTGGAAGTAACGGACAACATATTTTCGAATAAAATTTTTACGTCTTTCAATCGGAGACCAAATATCTCGAGCATTATTAGTTTTCGTTTTGTTGAACCGGAAGGGACAAGATCAATGAGTGGAAATCATGGCCTCGTTAGATTAGTTATCATTCAATATATAAAGAAGAGTGACTTAAAACTTCTTTCACTGTTGTCAATGAAATCTTGAGAGATATCCTATCACAATGGAGATTTTGCTTCGAATTCATTAGGCGTGAATATATGGATTCCCATTTCCGGTGCAAAGACCTACTCTCAGCGAGCTTATATTGATTCTTTAAAAAAAATATTATTTTTATGATCAGACTTGGCTACCATCTGTTGTATCGTAATATAATGACATTGTACAATCATCTTATGAGCGGTTAACCGTAAAGTGACGTAAAACTATATATACATTGCATCGAAAGTGAAAAGTCAACATACTGAATATCGATAATTTTTGTATATCTGTAATTGATATGTTATTCACTGTTGATCGTCGACCTTATTGTTTTACCAGTACGGAAATAAGCAGAACTGTTAACCGTTGGATAGGGTATGTCACAAAATCCTATAAAAATGCAAAACCTCGCGAGACCTTCCATCATTTGCATATTTTTAATTATCAGCACTCCAGTAATTATTGATGATGTGAACTGTCAAGGAGTAAGACCTCGCCAGTTTCTTACAGAATCCCCGAGATTTTCACAGAATCAGAATAGTTCAGAGCTTCACCGTAACGCAATCAAGACAGATCAAAGTGCGGCAATTAACGCTGATATCCCTCCGCTGCGGTTTCCTAAATTTACACACACCCGTGCGTATGACAGCGTGAACCCTGCCGAGAATGACAGCAGGATGTTTAACCTAACTGAGCATCAATTTCTGTGTTTTAATGTGACCAGAGCTCCAAGAGGTAGGCATTTTGGTAGTTTATTGATTATTTACAAAGATTGAAATTTACACAAAAATGTTTTACTCTTAGCATTTGCATGATATTTTTTAAGAAAACATTTTTCGTTGTAGCTCGTTAAATGAAGATAGAGGGAAAAGGGTCGTTAAATTAAATAAGTACTTTCAAAATTTCTTTGGATAGATAATGTTTTATCTATGAAATCAAACACAAAAATTTATGAAATAAGCTCGGGAACACAAGTAAATTTGTATCTTACAAACGATATTATAGCGTTCACAAAAATACACGGTTTTTTCGTAACTCTTTAGATATATATTAAGCAAAACAAGATGGTTACCTGAAAATTTTAAAGGAACACATTATAAAAGTTTCTTGGTAATGTCAAGTGTAATAGACAACCCAGCATTTTGTGACGTAATATAGTTAATTAAGCTTCCGGTCATGTTTATCTCAAATCTCAGTTTAATTTAGGGATGTTATTGTGAAATTTCTTTTGAAGCCTTCACTTTTATTGTGAAAATTAATTTTGAAACACTTTAGAATATTTAAAAGAATGGTACATGTACATTTAATTTTATAAATAATATACACGAAAGTTTTATTACTTTGAAAGTACGAAATATACATTCGAACTTATTTCTGTAATATGTGTGGCTCACAGAAAATCTAAGAATTATTGACCCGTTTTAATCAAACTCATTTCCAGTTTAAAGATATATTTTAACATCAAAATTATAATTACAGAATTACATGTACACGGTATTGTATTTGCGAATATGATTATTGATTATATGTCGGCGACGGACATCGGGTTCTTGATTTGAAATTCTTTGTAATTGACGTTTATTAATTGGGTTTCTTTGGTTAATTCCATTCACAGTAACCTTAATGGAGTACCCGATTGAAGGAAAGTCTTAAAAAATCATAAGATTACAGTAGGTGATTAATGTTAATTATTTACATAACAGCGGTAAGTCACCAATTTTTAAAGTCTATCTGAGGTCTTACTGTATAGACAAAAGACATTTTCATTTATTCATAACTTGGCTGTTTCTTATTAATCCGATTACAGGATTTGTGAATAATCGAGACGTTTTCAAGATTTTCTGCACAATGAATTCCTTTCCATTTTTTTTCCCAATTGAAGTTAAATAAGTCACACATTTTATCAGGTTTTTATTCATAAACCATTTAAAAGTTAGCTTGCCTTTGATAAAAATGACAATCAAAACGCAATTAGGGCAAAGTAAATGTACCGTGATCAAGAACATTGATATATGTAAAAAAGAGAAATAATAAAAATAAATTTCTTTTAAATACGCATCAGCGTAAAAAAGTCCTTATTCACCATAAATGTGTGTTAGATGTCAGAAAATGTACATGAGGGGATTATTTTGTATCATTCTGAGCTATATTCTTGTTTCAAGGGTGCTTTAGGTACATTAAACAAAGTAATTGAAAATGGATCTTTTCACCCTTGAATAAAATGTAGATATTCAACATCTTAAAGATTAAATCTTCACCTTTCATCTGTGTGCTAAATGCATCCATGATATATATCTTTGATGCACTTCAAATAAATCTCCATGGACTTCAATTGTTTTATTGATGACGTACGAGGGGTTATCAAAAACTTCGTGGACTAGCGCCATAAGATTAAAACCGATTTAGGTACATCAATGAATTTTAAAACATTTAGTTAGGATCGTCTTTTCTATCCATAGAATAAACCATGAATCATAAGTTTTATTTTTTTAAATAAATGTTTAATGTTTTTGTAAGCAATGGTATGTCCAGGCGGCGCAACCTTAAATATGACGGTTTTTCTTCCTGAGTGTAACTGAGAAAAACTCTTTTAATATGAGCATTTGTCATAAAAAAATCCCGTTATTTCAGGCATATGGTACGACACAATTGTTCTGTAAAATTTGCAATTTTTACCCCATTCTGTACGTTCTATGAAATTCTATTGTAAATTTTATATGGAGTGTTCAAAAAATTAAGGCTTGAAAATGACATCAAAAAGGGGGAGGGGTTTCTTCTTCCAGCATTCTATAAAGTTTCGAACCTGGAAAAACTGGTATAGACCTAAGGAATATTAAAACGGGCAAAAGAGAAATAAAATGCATCCAGAGTATTTGTTTTTAAATGCCCAAAAAGATTCAGAGAGATGATAGATGCATTGTTAATGTCGATTTGTAGTCAGGGTGTCAAAAGTCAGTCACGTCAAAAAGTGACTTTGATCATGTGTGGTAGAATTTGAACTCCAACAAGCTAAGTATTCTGGCATAATCAAGTGAGAATCTTTCCCTTTGTATAGATTCATTTACAATATTATATGCATTGAAAGTAGCTGTTCATGACATGATAAAGTCATATAAACAAGATGGGCTTTAGTCCTTACTTAACTCCAGGTAATCTCATCAAGATAAGTGTATGAGGTAGAGAGAGCGGACAATGAGAAACAATGACGTTGTCGGACGTCAAGAAACTAAACGGCGACAGCGCCGGGTGATCATATAATGTCTTTTTTATTTTAGAATAATTTGGAAGATTATCAACGTATCGAGCTAAAATTTTCAACATTTCTTAAACTTTTGTTGTTTTATGTTTCTTATACATTTTGTAAGCACAGACTACATAGTATTAATTTTATCGCATCAGTCCACGAACTTCTTGATAACCCCTCGTATATGCAGTAGAAATAAAAACCGCCACGATAAAAACGGAAATGGCGAAAAAAGCATGAATTCTTGCGATTAATCTCGGGGTATATGTCTAATCGTTTTCCCACCCAGACTTATTGCAAAACTCACTGAAATAAAGATATGATGTAATAAAAATTTAAATTTTGATTTACACTTACCTTAACAAAAATAATGTAGTTTACAATAATTAACTATGGTACCATAGTTTTTATGATAGTTTAATTTGAAATTCAAATTTCTTTATTTTCTCCAATTCTTGCATGCAAGTTTTAGATATTAAAATGAATTTGCCTACTAGAATTCACATATTATTTCACGAGATGAAAATGAAGTTCGTAGTTTGACGAAGACAAAAAGATTATTTAGCGGATAATTAAATAACAATCGTTTAGATTTACTTATATATATATATATATATATATATATATATATATATATATATATATATATATATATATATATATATATATATATATATATATATATATATATATATATATATATATTAAAGGTATAGATTTATTTCACCTGAAAGAATTTGTAAGTACACTGAACACTGGTATGTAGCTATGATCTCCAAAAATAAACTTCTTCAAGTAGGATAAATCTTAGGTGGAAAATGTCCTGACACTTCAACAAATTGCCTCATGACCTATATGGACCAATTTGTACATATTTTTTTTCAGTTACAGTCGATTGTCAATTTGAGGTTTTCTACATACGTAAAAACAGGGTCCTTGGAGACTTTTTCTACATCATATACACAAGTATATCCACTGCTTCTAAATAGGCAAAACTCTAGTATTTCTATTGTCGTGATTGGTTTGGAACATATGGAAAAGCAAACGTCACTTTTACATGCCATTCTGAAATCGGGAAAATGGCTACAGCATTAGCCACTCTGAGAATGTCAATTACCGAAGTAACAATCAAAATGGACAAATACTCCGAAGAGACAGATTTTGTAAATGTGACAGCCATCGAGTTAAGCAATATATGTACACTTCAAAATGTTATGTCTATACTTAAAGACAAAATGAATCGTATGTTCATAAAATTCGGCATCTTTTTTGCATTAGTTATTCTTTTCTAAATATTAAATCTTTGTCGTCAATCAAATTATATACAGCTAAATCAAATGCAGAAAAGTAATGAAAACGGGGGACGAAAGCTTGATAAAATTTTAAAGTTTTTCACGTTGATAATTAACACAGATATAGGCCATGCCAGGCATGGATATCTCCACAAATAATTAAAACTTGTGAACACTGACTACAGATGATATATTTTTTTCCGATTTTAATATGTTGTATTTATTGTTCATGGTAATTGTCATGGTGTGAAAATTGAAGTTTTACGAAAAGAAATATCACATCTTGATGAATTTAATAATGCATCTATAAAAATATACAACTATTCCTATTTATAACTTAGTACATGTATATGAAACTATTTTATGAAGTTAATATTCAATTACAGCACATCTGTTACTCTGTTGCTCGCTCTACTGGAAAAATATACAAACGCACATCTTTAATATCTATTTCGACACCTGAACAGGCGACTCAGGTCGATCGAAAAATGCATTTTTGACATAAAAGTAGAGTGTCTTTTAAGAATGAACTGGGTGGGGAATGAATTTTAACATTAAAACTTTGTTTTTACGTTCTTACTGCAATGCATTTAAATGCCTACACACATGAAGCTAAGATCCTCTAAGAAATGATTGAAAAAATACCATTAGCAATAATCAATAGTTTAGTGCATTCATCATTCCATCTTATATGAAAGTATAACTCTTTTCAGGGACTTTTATTTCGAAGCACGATCTTGTTTGCTGTTGATTGCTCTCAAAAATCAAAGTGCTTATGATCTGAAATTTCATACAGTACAAATAATGATGCGATAAATTGGGCAATATGCTTTCCTATCTCTGAAGTATGGTGGTATATTTCTGCCATCACGCGTCAGATCTTTATGTCGACTTGTCAGATAATTATGTTGACTTGTCACTTATTCACATGTATAAAAATTGAACATAAAACGCGTCCATGCCCAGTCTGTGCCATCCAGTTGACATGTTTTTCTGACACGTCAACATAATCATCTGACAAGTCGCTTAGAGATCTTACAAATCAACAGTACCTTCTGACAAGTCGATATAACTTTCTAGGAAGTCTTCAAATTTATCTGACATGTTGATACATGTATGACATCTGACGAGACTTTATAGATAATTTGTCGATTTGTCAAATAATTATGTCAACTTGTAACAAATATATTGACTTGTAA